CCACCGAACCGCTGAACTAAATCCCTGGCCCTATGGTGTTTTTTTTTGTTGTTGTTGTTGTTTTTTAATTGTAAAAGCTGAATAAACTTCAAGGTAAAATGAATACCCGCTTTCTCTCTGCCTAGATTTAACAATCAAAATAAGTCCTGTATATAACACTTTATAATTTACAAAGCTCCTTAACATTGCTGTATTGCAAATCAGCTGTAACCAGTGGGCAGTGGGGAGGCCTATTGGGAGCCCCATTATGCAGCCCCTCAGAGCCCGTTCCACCTTGGTGTCTGTATGCTACTTTGAAAGCTGGCCTCCTGTCTCTCCATTTCCATACTTCTCAGAAGGTTGTATTTTGTTCCAGAACTTTGCTAACTGGAAGTACAGTTTCTAATGATTCTTAGCAGGAAGGGGCCTGAGCAGCAGAGCTCATTGATCTGAGGTGGATTAGGTAGGCAGATTGTAGAAAGTTGAGAATTAGGTCCTACAAAATTATTCTGTTCTTTGCAGGATCCAACACCTACTCCTTAAGGTAGCATAATTGGCCCTGTATAGAATCTGGCCAAAAGCGGTGGTGTCTTGATTTACACCACACTCCCATCCCTAGCATCCAATCTGTCCAGGTCCTGTTGGCTCTACCTTTGGGATTACCCAGAATTTGATACTTCCATGCAGGTTCAAGGCCCTACAGCCCTTGTTCTAGCAGCACATTGTTTTTTCGTCTCTCTGCTCCACCTTTTCTCTGCTGTCTCTCCTTTCTTCAACAGTTATTTTGTTGTTGTTGCTGTTGTGGTTTTTGTACCAGGGATCGAACTTGGGCAAGCGGCAGAACCGGCAGAACCACTGAGCCAAATCCCCAGCCCAAAAGTTAATTTTTCTTTTAAAACATTAGTCAGAATCATGTCATTCATCTGCTCGAACTCACCGTGTCCCTTCATCTTGGAGGAAGAGCGAAATCCTTATTGTAAAGTTGAAGCCCCACTTAACCCTGTTCCCTCTTCAAGCACTACTCTTCCTCAATCACTCAGCATGCAGTTCCTCTAGGGCCTTTACACAAATTCTAGAAGCAGATGAATCTTGCTTCATTTCCAAAATGAATTTGTGCCTCACTGTTTCCACTTTGTTAGGTCTCTGTTCAAGCACACGGCCTTCTTCAACTGCCCTGTTTTAAATACTAGTTCCCTGAACTCACTAACCTCAGTATTCTGCTGTGGGTTTTTCAACTTCCTCCTATCTCATAATACGTGTATCTGTTTGTTTATTGTTGGTCCACACTTCCCCATAAGACTGCACTGTGAGAGGAGCTTTATTTTATTCACTTTTGTAGCCACAGTAGGTAGAATGACATCTGGTACATGGGAGATTCTCAATAAATATGGGTTAAATGGATGGCTCTGAGCTACTCCTTCCCAGTTATGTTTGTTTTCAGCATGTCATTTAATATCCCTAAGAAAGTGGCCAACTATTCCAGTTTTCCCAGGATTGAAGGAGTTTCAGGAGGTTTGCAGTGCTAAATTCTGGCAAACTGCACCTTGGTCCCAGATAAATGTATAGGTCACCCTACCTCTAAGCCAAGGTATCCTCAATCTAGTAAAAAAAGAGAAAGCAAATAAGCAAGTATGGTGGCTGGCTTAGTTACTTCCTTGCTGCTGGGACAAAATACCTGACACCCACAAGTTAAAAGAGGAAAGGTTTATTTTTACTCATAGTTTGTAGAGGTTTCAGTCCATAGCCAGCTGGCTCCAAGGCAAGGCAGAATGGCAGAGGGGCATAGCAGAGGAGAAACTGTCCATGGCAGGGTAGGCAGGAGGCAGGAAGCCTGCCTTTTCCTTTTATTCCATTTGGGCTACAAGCTCATTGGTTGGCTCCATCCACATCCACCATGGGCCTTTCCATTATCCACACCTAAAACTATGCTAAACCAATCAGTGAACTTAGTTATTATACACCATTAATCCATATTTATATACCGTAGACCAGCCACCTTCAAAATGCCCCACCTATGAGCACAGGAAGCTTTGGGCAGACTTCTAGATATGTCATAATAGTGGTACATGCATATAATCCCAGCCCTCTGGGAGGCGTAGGCAAGAGGATCACAAGTTTAATCCCAGCCTGGGCAGTTTAACAATTTAGTGAGACCCTGAATAAAATATTCAAAAAGAAAAAAGATGCTGCTATAGGTCTATGCAGACACCCTGGGTTTACGATATAGCAGCAGAGTATATGTGTGGTGGGGGGACATGTGCAAAATGGAAGGCCTAGACTATCATACATCACAGGCACTAGAAGTATGGGTTGTAGCTCTGTTTTGACAGCCTATTTCTCAGGCTTTAGCTACAAATAACAGCCTTAAGCCCTACTGAATCTAGGCCTTTGCTTATGCCAGTCACTCAGTGTGTACATTTCAAGGCTGCCATTTTGATTTAGCTCTTTGGGTGTATCAAAATATGTTTTGTCTTTTGATACGACCCCACTTTTTTGGTACAGGGTATCGAACTTGTGTCCTTGTTCTGCGAGGCAGTGATAAGACCCTTTTGACATGCACATTTAGACTTTGGCGTTTTAAAATGAATCACTAAACTAGGGATAAAGCTGAGTAATAGATTACTTGCCTAGCATTCACAAGGCCTAGGGTTAGATTTCTAGAATTGAAGTGAAAAAGTTAAAAAGAAAATAATTATTCTTTTAGGTTCTAAATTTTATTTATCAAGTGCTGTGTGAAACATGATATTGATGCTAAAGTAAGGACTGGTATTCAAAATTAGGAGCCATCTGGCAGATGAGCTGTGAAAGACCATTAGGCATTTCTTTTTGTTTGGTTGTTACTTTGTGCTTGGGAAGCAGGCGGTGGAACCACTGAGCTAAATTCCCGGCCCCACCACTAGGCGTTTCTTAACAGCTTGCTCAAGGTGAAGGCCTTTGAGTAACTCTAAGAAAAGAATCTATTTGGGCTGGGGCTTTGGCTCAGTGGTGCCACTCCCTGCCTTATAAGCATAAGGACCCGTGTTCAATCCCCAGCAAGACAAGAAAAGGAAGCATCTATTCGTTGCTTGGGAATTCACTTTAAACTTGAGTGGTTAGCCTCCAAAAGACTCAGACTTTGCTCTTAAAACTAAATGTCTTAGGAACTGTGCAAGGGGGAATTTGGGTCACAGTGATACTCACTAGTCTCATTTCTAGATCAACAACTTTCCCATTATTCTTTTCATTCTCTCAATGATGGATATATTTAAATACCATACACTTTATTATGTTTTGGGGGACAAGACAGATATTCCTTTAAAGACTAAACTAATTATAAATGGCTTTTTAAAACTATCATTTTTATTATTATAAAATTAATAATCTTGGTTAAAGTCCCCAAATGGGGTAGGGGATGTAGAACACTTGCCTACCATGTACAAAGCTCTGGGTTTGATCCCTAGTACTGGAAAAAAAATCTCGTAATGATGTCAAAATAAATGCCAGAGAAAGGGTAACTCCTGGGAACCAGACATGGAGTAGAGATCAGGGCACCTGAAAATATACTTGGGAGTAAGAGCAGAGGGTGTATCCTTTGCAGCAACTGCATTAGATTTCGTTTTATCATGTTTAACCCAAATAAGATTACACATCTTGTGGGAGAGGAATAAGACTCTCATTATTAAATCAAACAATTAAAATATATCACAAGGGATATGATCCTATTTTCACATTTCATCATTTTAAAAAATCACCAGAATTTGGGCCTCCCTTTACCTAGAAATGCACCAGAAGCATCAAAACACTGCCTCAGAATTGCCCCTGTTGCAAAAGATGTCACTGAAATTGTGAAACATCCTGCTTTAGGCTGGAAATCCCCACTCCCTACCCCTATTCTGTCATAGCTGCTCAGAGGAGTTTCCTGACCAGTCAGGAAAGGGTCAAGGTTCCCCAGGAATCCACGGCAGCCTGCCTGTTACATTATCACTTCATCATTTTTCTTTGGAAGGCAGTGGGAGCCTTCCAAAGTCTGATACAGGTACTGGACACAGCAAGACCCTAGTCAACACCCTGTAGCCTTTCACACATTTACCATCAGCACCATAGATATGTATTTGGCTTTACCATTTCTTAGGAAAAATGGGATTATCTTCTCATTAAATCCAATGAACTGCACGTCAAATCAAAAAACAAACCCAAAGCACTGAATACTCTGTGAAATATGAAGCACACAGACCAATCAGGTAATAAGTGAAATTCTGTAAGCAGAACTCATCAAAGCCTTGTCATCCTATCAAAGCTAGTCATCCCAGAGGTGCTCATATACCAGACAGGTGCCAGAATTTCGTAGCTGGCCTGTGGGAGTAGCTCATTCTGAGCTTCAGACATCAGCTAACAAAATGACATTCATGATCAGTGTTGAAGAGTAAAATAAACTATAATCCTTCAAGGAAAAAATGCCATGAGGTGGTTTAATAGAATGAGTTTGTATCCTCATTCTGGGCAAGTCATGAAGTCACTGATTCCTGGCTGTCCATGGAGATAATAAATCCAGCCCTGCAGTGCAGCCCCAGAAATTTTAAAGATGTAGTGCTTATAGAACAAGCATTGCCTGGTGCAGGGTAAGTGCTGTTGAAAAGTTAATTGTGTTATCCACAAAATATCTTTTAGACAAAAATTTCATGAGCACACAAGGTTTAAACCAAGTATGCAAATAATGCTGATAGAAATATTACTATTTCATAATGACTATTATAATTGATTTAAAAAGAATCATCCATGACTAAATAATTCCATGGGGAGAATGATCTATGAGAAGACATTTATGAGCCACATGCTCAGGTCACTTAAAAACTACAAGGAAAAAATGTCCTTTTATACTGCAGAAATCTTGAGTACACTTGGATGTTAGTGCCAGTCTAATAAGGAAAAACAACAGAAATCTAAATTGAGGGACAGTCTACTTGGAATGAATCTTTAAAAAATTATGTCTTGAGAAAATTTGAAAAGAGAAAATATTGTAGATAAAAGAAAACTATAGAGACTGGACAATAAAAAAAAAGCAATACACAAGGCTTTAGACCTTGGGTTGAAAAATAAAAAGCCACAAACTGTATAGTATAAAGACATCATTGGGACAATTGATGAAGTTTGATTATGAAGCAGTTATTGTAACAATGTAATATTCCATGACTGTGATAATTGTATTGTGATCACTTAAGTAATACCACTGTGGACACTATTTAGGGTATCTAGAGTTTTTGGAGTGATATGTGATGTTTTCAATTTATTACCAAATGGTTAAGAAAAGAGGAAGTATCAGAGAGGGAGAGCAGAAAATATTGTAAAAATGTAAGCAGTTGGTGGATCTAAATAAAGGACACAGAAGTATTCATTGTACTATACTTCACATTTTTCTTAGGTCCAAATTTTTCAAAACAAATGGTTGAAGGTGAAAATCAGGGTGTGCAAAAGGGCAGAAACCACTAATGAAGTCATCCCTCACTCTTTGTAACCTCCATTATCTTTGGAAACACCTCTGGGACCTGGCCTGGGTAGTGAGCTCCAGACACTACCTTTTCATTTCCAGTATCCTGGCAAGTGCCTAGAACATGTAGTCATAAAAGGTACACAAAGCACCCCAGTTCTCAGGGAGGAAGGGTTCAGTCAACTCCAGGTTCAGAAAAACCAGGATGGTAGCCCTGGATATTAAATTTTCCAGGCCTTCATGTTGCTGGAAAAACCAGATATGGGCTACAACAGCATCAACAGGGGCGACACCAGGGCTTGTTCTCTAGCTGTACACTTCTGGCCTCACCTGCCTTCTTGGCAGTCCAGGGCAAAATTTGCAGGGTTGTATTTGCTGCTGTCCCTCCTCTTGACATTGTTCCTGGAGGGTCTATGAACCTCAAGAGTCTGGAAGACAGCAGTTGGCCAGAGGGGCTGACCTTCAGCATGGCTACACCCTCTACCACCTAGATCCTGAAATCAGAAGACAGCAGATGGCAAGTCTGAACTGCAATTCCACGTCCACTCTGCCATTCAGCATAGCGTTCTTAGGGGCACATGGTTGGCAAGGTGAAATACTCCCTACTGGAAAACTATCTGAATCCACAAGTTGGGAACGTAGCAGCCTGAGCTACACTGCTACACACAGCTAGACACACCCTTGCCCTTAGTCTCAGTTCCACCAAAGCACAGAGGATTTCCTGTTCCTTTTCCATGATTTCACAAGCTGCTTGCTCGCTCTTGGGCTCCCATTAGAAGGCTTTTTATCCTGCCAGAAGCCAGACAGCTGACTCCAGTTTCTCCTGGTCAACACCATGGCCAGGACCCTTAGTGACCATCTGCTGAACACTCTGGAGGAGCTTGTGCCCTATGACTTTGAGAAATTCAAGTTCAAGCTGCAGAACACCAGCCTGGAGAAGGAGCATACCCGGATCCCTCGGGGCCATCTCCAGATGGCCAGACCAGTGAGGCTGGCCACCTTGCTGATCACCCACTATGGGGAGGAATATGCTGTGCGGCTTACTCTGCAGGTCCTGCGGTCCATCAACCAGCGCCTCCTGGCAGAGGAGCTCCACAGAGCCACTGGCAAGGGTAAGCTGCCCAAGTCACCTCCTGGCCCAGCACTGGCTGCTGGCAAGAGGGAAGGCATGCTTGGGCTAGAACTCTCTGCTTGAAGGTCAGGAGTCTCCCATCCACCACAACCTGAGCAACTTGAGTTCAGCACATCCTGTCCCTCTCTCTGGCCCTTATAGAGGTGTTAGTAAGGCTCTCTCAGGTTTCCAATTTTTTTTTTTAAAGGTTAAGATTCAGACTGTAAGAATCAGGAAAGGCAGGTGCTAGAGCACCTGTTTTTAGAGAATTATTTACTCTATTTGCAATTAGCATGTGCAGACGAATTAAAAGGGCTTGCAAATCAATATTAACATGTTGATATATAATATTCTCATTGTTATCCACCTAATTTCAGTTTACAATTTTTTAACATACTTTAGAAGGATATTTTAAATTTCTTAAGAATTTTTTCTCTCTTGCTTGCTCTTCCTTCTTTTACAATCCTAATGTTGCAACTTTCTTGTTTCTTACAGTGTGACCAAAGAATATGGCCTATTTAGTTTCTGCTTTTAGATACTTACAGTTTTTGAGAGTAACTTTTTAAAAAATTCTCTTTGATATATGAATTTTTCTTCCATTTATTGACTTTAAGCCTATATCAGAAATATTTTCCAGGAATTTCTATAAGGCCAAACAGTTTTAATAACATGTCTGTAGTCTGTGAGTCAGAGAGCCTAGTAGAATTTCATGATTAGAATTTCAAAATTACTTTTTCATGATGTAAATCTTGATTGTTAGCATCTTCAGGGGTTCTCACCAGTTCTTAAACCAGTTTTGGTATCTAACATCTTCTTAGAAAGCCAACAGCAAACTATTTCAAACAATGTTTGTGTGTGTGTGTGTGTGTGTGTGTGTGTGTGTGTGTGTGTGAGTGTGTTTTGCTGGGGACTAAACCGAGGGCCTCAGGTATGCTAAGCATGTGTTTTACCACTGAGCTATACTCCCAGGCCCAAAGTTTTATTTTTAGCTTCTTTAAACAAAAAAGCAAGGTACTAATTATAGATTGTTTTCATTTCCTTGTGTAGACCGTGGAATTAGGCCTTTCCTGTTATTTCCACACAGTAAACAGTATCTTGAAATTTCCAAGCAAGCTGATTTTTTTGTTGTTGTTATTGTTAAATTACCATTTACACTTGTTTCTGTCTAAGAACTTTCTTCAGCTTATGCAATGGAGGAAAAATGAAAGAACGATAAGCCTTGATTTCAAACTTTTTGTGTTGATCAAACACCTTAATTCTTTTTATGGATTGATTTTATAAAAAGTGAAATTTGTATATCTGAAATCATACATAAATTTACATGAATAACCAGAGTTGTAAGTTATTTATTTGAAACAATATCTTATTAAAACAAGTTCTCCTGCTTAAAAAATTTGAAAAGTACTATTTGAGAAAAATATAACAAATCATGTGTATGTTCCTACCTTGTGGTCATTAACTGTTAAGATGTCTAAGATGTTCCACACATTGCCTGCTGTAATTCCTGATGGGATTCATTCTCATTCTATCTCCCTCCCTTACTCCATCCCTTCAATTCTGGCCCTGGGTGTGGGACAACAACTTCATATCTTTGCATCTTTGCATCTGATTTGTCTTTACAGAACTTGGGACACAAGAAAGTTACACTGACATTTTGGCAACGTCTTCTGGGGAGAACAAGCCCAAAAGCCTGAAGGTACCAGATGGCCCAGCAGGTAATGGGCAGCGGCAAAGTGGCGATGGGGCAGCCAGCCTGCTGTCCAGCCAGACTGAGACCGTGAAGGGACCTCAGAAGAAGTCTCAGAGCAAACGAAGGGACCTGAAGGGCCCTGAGGACCCAGAAATGCAGAGTAAGCTGCTGGCTAGGAGTGCAGCACTGCCAGCCAGGAGAAGCCCAGTGCCCACCCAGTCAAAGCTCGGGAACAAGGAGAGCAGAACCAGTACACAGCTCCGGAGGAATGCCAGCTCGGCAGGAAGGCTCCAGGGGCTCTTTAGTGGGGCCCTAGGGAGGAGAGACTCCAAGAAAATGGAAATATATTTGCCTTCAGGAAAAAAGAGACCCAAAAGTCTTGAACTTTCTTCAGAAAAGGAAGAACCCCCAAATCCAGAATCTCTTCTCACCTCTCTTGAGGAAATGAGAAATGCAAAGGCAGACTTAGCAGCCACCTCCAGAGTAGGGGCTACTGCGGATCTGGAGAATGGCTCCAGGGATCCAGAATATTCCATGGTCATGGAGGTGGGTATATCCAGGATCAAACTTTCTAGTACATCTTTGGCTAGAGAAGAAAAATCTACAGCATTCTTCGAGGAAGATGGAGCTGGGCATCCAGAGACTCTGGGAAGGATGGCAGGTGGTCTGTTTCACAAGCCCTCAAATCCAGAAGTACTTTCATTTTCAGGTGAGAAGGGAGCCTGGAATGCAGAAGATCTAGCATCCCTAAGATTGGTGGCCTGTAAAGGTATTCCCTCCATCACATTTCCCTTTATTCCAACTGTATTTATATCACTGGGATACTGGGATGCCTCGTGGGATCCCCTCTGATCCTGGCTATAGACCCTAAAACCTGCACGTGGACACAGCCTTGCAAAATGTTGCATCAAAATTCACTTCATTCTTGGATCCTCAGGAGACCTTCTTTAGACTTCATGGGACCTAGATTGAGAACCCAGAAAAGATTAAGTAAAAAATATCTCCTTCCCACAATTATTCCATGACAACATGTCACAGGACCGAGATGCTATTATTTGCCTTTCTCTGGGTAGGGAGGAGAGCCATTCACCAAAATCCTAGGTCTCTCTCACTAAGGAATTAGTCCTAATGATTCTGTTTGTGAGTAACAGAAACCCCAAAATTACAGTAGCTGAAACAGAAGTTTCTCTTTTGCCCAAATGACATGCAGGTTGGTCCAGGACAAGTCCATGTGCCAGGACCCCAGATTCTTGCCTTTCTGCTCCACCAAGTTTGCCTCTGAAACTTGTAGTCTCAGATAGTGATATTTTCATTCCAGCTAGCATAAGGGCCTGGTCCTTTTTGGAGAGAGGTCTAGAAGTTTCTAGAAGCTGTTTATGAAACCTTGCTTATATCCTTTTAGCTGGAATACAGTCAAATGGCCACTCCTAACCGCAAGGGAGTCTGGGAAGCAGGCTTATGGGCAGCAGTTAACTGTCACAAGGGAGGAGGAGAGAAAGGCTCTTGGGAGCCACTAACAACTCTGTTTATAGTTGATATGTGCGTTACTGGGGCAACAAGGTTAGGAGAAGGGAAGGACTAATGGATGGCATGTGTTTTTGTTTGTTTTTTGTTTTTTGGCTTTGGGTTTCAAACTCGGGACCTTGCACTTGCGAGGCAGGCAGCAGCGCCACTGAGCTAAATCCCCGGCCTGATGGCATGTGTTTATTTCCTCTCATCTCCTGTCATTTCTGTGTTAGTCTTGAGGAAGAGCTATTCATAGCTTTTACATCTTGATTCCTAGATATAGCCTTTAGCCTTACAAATTCCCCTTCTTTGCTTTCATTTAATGCTTTTTGAACTTAGAAGTGAGCAGTCATCCATCTGCTCCTTCATTCAATATACGCATTCTCCCAGGAGCTGGGGGTCAGTCTGAGCAAGGCAAGTGAGCCACTATCCCCTGGGAGATCCACCTGAGCTTAGTAGACTTAGGTGGTTTTAAGTGGCAAAGCGAATGCTGTTCAGGATGTCTTCTTTCATTTCACCCACTAGATCCATGCCTATTCAGGAGGAAGGAATAGGTTCTATAGCAAAGGGTTGTGGGTCTTTCCTAGAATAAATGCCCAAGAATTCCAAGTCTCAGAAATAAACATGAGGCCTATCCCTTAGCTCTCAGTCCCAGTGGCCTGTCTGCTACCTCAACGAATGAAAGTCAGGGCAGAAAATGCTAAAAAGTGGTCAGATACACCAAGAACTCACGGCATAGTCTCTCTCATAAATACCTTGGGATTGCCACTCAGGAGATTCTTCTACTACTGTGTCCCCAGGAAGGCCACAAGAGGAGGCTGCATGTTTCCTTGACCATACCCAGGAAGGAGATTTACTTGGTCGTACCTGTGTGCATGGTAACTGCAGCTGTCCTGTTGTTTCTGGAGACTCTAAGGTCTTGGGCAACAGCTTGCCCAACTGCCCCAAGTGCCAGGCTTTACTGGCAAGGAAGAAATCTGGAGGTGTGAGTCCCCAGGCCCTGCCACAGTGCCAGCGCCACATGAAACAAGAACTGCTGCTCTTCTGTGAGGACCACGGAGAGCCCATCTGCCTCATCTGCAGGTTAAGTCAGGAGCACCAAGGCCACCGGGTACGTCCCATTGAGGAGGCTGCCTTGGACTACAAGGTAAGTACTGCTTGTCTGCGACCCCTTCTCTGCCATGCACCTGGACACACTGGCCTTCCTCATTTCTCTAATCACTCTGGGACAGAGGTGTACTAGACAGGACTCTTGAGCTATAAAATGCAAAAATACAATGCAAAACAGGCCAGCAAAGGAAACTACAGTTTTTGTGCTCAAAAGTCCATAGGGGAGGGGAGTATGTGCCTCCTGGCTATATCCAGGAGCTTCCAGGGGGTCACTGAAATGCTCCATTATTCCCTCTTGGCTCTGTTTCCCATTATAATAGATTCATTCTTCCTCCTTCCTGTATACTTAGCTCCTTAACTTTGCTCCTGGAAGCAGATTTTCTCTGGAGTTGACAGTAGCTAAAGCAGGAGCCAAGGGTAAGCATCTAAAAATGTTCTCTCTCCAGGAGCAAATTCAGAAACAGCTGGAGCATCTGAAGGAGCTGAGAAAATCTGGGGAGGAGCAGAAATCACAGGGGGATATGAAGATAGCACGCTTCTTGGTAAGGCTGGGCGAGACCTGTGGCTGGTCCTTTCCCTTTCAGACCTACAGAAGGAAAGAAGGGTCAGAAAGTGAGTAGGAGTCCATGACATTTTTCTCTGGTTCACAGGGCCGCAAGCATGGTCATCTGTTCTTGGGGAGCAGGGAGATAACAGCACCCAAGGCCAAGCTTGCCTTGGTAGAAGGAGACCACCCCAGTAGGGACAGTCACCTCCAAGGACCCTGTAAATTTTCTCATTCTCACCATCAGAGGGTTCATAGAGACCAAAGGCAGTGGCTTTCTCAAAGAATGAGATGGATGAAAGGAGAGGGAAACCATTTTAACTTTAAATTCTCGTGTGTGTGTGTGTGTGTGTGTGTGTGTGTGTGTAGTTTCACACATACACGTAATACTGAGAATTCAGCCCAGGGCCTTGGCACTGACCTACATCCCTGCTTCCTCATACCTTTTTAAATTTAGAGACAAGGTCATTGTAAGTCACTAAGTTGCACATGCTGAACTCAAACTTTCAGTCCTCCTGCCTCAGCCTTCCAGAGTGCTGAGATTACAGGTATGCACCACCATACCTGGCTCCTCTGTATTGTTTTTATAATTGCTATCTTTTAAATGTAAAAACCACACTGATACTTAAAATTCAAGTGGAAAACATTTTCTTTAAAACTGTGGTTTTGTGACACCATAAATTTCAGTAAGTACAATTTACTGGCCTTCTGTTGAGGTGGTAATGTCCAGCATTTTGGATGTGTAAGTTGTTTTCAATTTTCCTGGACCCTACCCTACAAAGCTTTGGTTTGTCTAATGCATTTGTTTGATCCTGACTCGCTCTGGTTCCCCAAATTCTTTTTTTTTTTTTGGTACTGGGGATTGAATTGGGGACCTTCTACTTGTAGGCAGGCAGAAGAACCATTGAGCTAAATCTCAGCCCTGGGTTCCCGAAATTCTAACCAGTCATGTTGGTACCCACCATACCTCACTGGGTCAAAGGGAAAGATAAGCAAAGGAAAGAATAAAGATGGGCATTAGCCTAGGTGTCTGGCTTTGTGGACATTCCTGAATTGTAGGAACATGAAAATCTCTTCCATCTCATATGGCTAGACGCTTATGGATAGAACAGAGACCAGTGTTCCCAAGTAGGTCAGGCAGCAGCATAGGCCACTTTGGATTGACAAATGGCTCAGCCTTCCCTTAATATACAACAGAGTCCTTTTGCTCCTCCTCTTTCTTTTTTCTCCTTTCTATAGTCCAAAAAGAAAAAAACTTTTAGGCATAAGGATGGGGACTCTCCTTTATAGCACAATGCCAACCAGTGCAAACACTATGAAAGAATGATTGTATTAGAAAATTTTCATTTTACAGATACTAGTATGATGGTTGACAGGCAGGGATTATTTAACTGACACTAAAATTTTTAGAGGAAGATTGTTAGAGAACAGGATATTTATTCACTCTCAAGATACCATTTCCCGGTAATTACAGAAAGGAAATAATGTAAATTTATAATGGAGAAATCTGGTAGGCCCTTGTTTAACCAAGTGACCAATGTAAGTCTCACAATAATGGCAGTTGACCAACTGCATATTCTTTGCTTCCAGATGAGATGGACTAGGAAGGACATTTAGGATTAACTAGTTTAATTAGTTTTCTTGCCCAAAATGTTAAACATGAATTTAACCATCAGCAAAATTGTCAGTTTTAGAATATAAACATGACAACTGACCTATTTTCTTTAAAGAAGAAAAAAGCCACCATCCTCACCAACAATGACAACACCACAAGATGAGGAGATATCTTGGGTTCAAAAGAACTAAAGAGAGAGGGAGATGTAGCTCAATGGTAGGGAACCTCCTTGGCATAAATGAAGCTCTGAGCTTAGTCCTCATACCACCAGAAAAGGAGGAGGAGAATACGATAAAGAAGAAGAAGAGGACAGAGGAGTAGGAGGAGGAGGAGGTGGAGGTGGAGGTGGAGGTGGCAGCAGAGAGGGGGACATTAGTCCTGACCTTTTGAAGCCAAAATGTTAAGACTCTTAAGTCTAATGTTTGTCGATCTGAATATCCCTCTCCCCTTTGGAAGAAGGAATGGGTTCTCTGGGACCATGTGACCTTTCTGAATAAGCTTCCTGAGGACTAGGAGAAAAAGGATGACAGAAAAACCAATGATTGACCTCTGCATGACAGTAGTGGAAACTTGTAAATAACCATTTTCTCTGTGTCTCTTCACCTGGTTTTCTGCCTGTGTGTGTGTGTGTCTCCTAATGTCATTTTATAAGGACACCAGTCATATTGGGTTAGGGGCCCAACCTACCCCAGTATCAATTACATTATCTTAAGTAAACTTGCTTGGACCCTAACTCCAAATAAGATCACCTTCTGGAATACTGAGGGGTTAGCCCTTCAACATATGAGTATTGGAGGGGACACAAATAAACCTGTAACACCAAATTTAAGAGCACTTTCCAAGAGCTATCCCTTCCAACCCTGTCTGTTCTGAAAGGTCCCAGACAATACTGCCCTTGACTCTGGAGTCCAGGCCTCCAAAAGGCTGAGGGAAGCCTGCCTTTAATCCACCTCCAGGAGGTAGTCTTCAGAGGCCTCCCTAGACACACATGCTCACCCCAGTGCACAAAGCCCCTACAACTCCCTGTCCTCTGATTTCCAGAAACAAACTGAAACACAGAAGCAGAGGGTCCGGTGCCAACTGGAGCAGCTATATCGGTTTCTCCAGCAGCAGGAACAGCTCTTTCTGGCCTGGCTGGAGCAGCTGGACCAAACCATTGGCCAGGTCTGGGAAACCTATGGCACCCAGGTGTCCCAGGACATTGCCCTCTTTGATGAGCTCATTGGAAAGCTTGAGGCCAAGCAGAGACAGTCAGAATGGGAGCTCATGCAGGTGAGTGAGCTGGGCCTGGCCTTCCCTTGCCTGCTGGGCCCAGTGAGATGATTCAGACTCTCATCATTGCCATCACCTCTACCCAAGCGAGGGCACCTCTGTCAAAGGAAGGGAGGAAGACTCTGGAGGCCTGAGTATGCGCTTGGTTCTGGTGAACTACTATGCTTCTTGGGCCCCAACCTTTCCGATGAGGTCTCCTGGGGATCCAGGGTGGCACAGCATTAAGGTGGCTCTAGTGTTATCCAGAAGAGATGTACAGGGCTCTTGTGAAGTTCTACAGCAGGCTCCAGCAAGGGCACCACCTAGGTGATTAGAATTAGAACTGAAGAGAGGTGTTTCAGCTTCCTGATGCCCCAAGGCTGGGATCCCTGGTGAGGTAGGGAGAAGCATAAAGACCTGGAGCTCAGGAGGAGAGGCCAGGATCAGCCTGGCCACCAGGAGACTGGTAACAAAAGCTTTCCTCTTTTCTCTCCTAGGACATTGGAGTCACTTTGCACAGGTACAGAGTCCCTGGTATTCCCTTGGGTATCTTGCAGGAGGCATTTGGGTGAGACAGTCCTAGGAGGGACCTGAGTCTGTAACTTCTGTGACTTGAGTCCTCCCATTTCCTGAAGCTTCTTGAGGATTTTCCTGAATTGGTGTAGGGAGAATTGGAACCTGGCCAGGATGGGGGTAGGGAGCATGGGATGAAAGATGGGGAAAAATGAATGAAAACTTACTTTATGAAAACTGCCCCTGCAGAGCTGTCTGTGGACACCCACCAGAGAAGAAGTGCTTTCTAGGAGTCTCTGGGGTGATAGCTGGAGTTGGGTTTATGCACAAAAGGCACTATAGGCAAGGGTGGGACTGTCATTTGGAGAACATTGTTCAAATCTGGTGTCTGTCATCCACCTCCAGAACTTTTTCACATTTCCATGGAAAACCCTGTACCATTAAAACTAACTTCTCATTGCTTCACCACTGGGCCCTGAAAACAACCATTTCAGTTTCTGTCTATAAATCCAAGTACACTAGGTAACACATGAAGGGAACTATACAATATTTGTTCTTTGTTGTTTGGCTTTTTCCACCTGGTGTAACATGTTCAAGGTTCATCCATATTGTAGCATGTGTTAGAATTTTGTTCCTTTTAATGGCCAAAAAAAAAAAAACTATTGGATATGTATACTACATTTTGTTTACCTATTCATCTGTTGATAGAATTTGGATTGTTTGTACCTTTTAGCATTATGAATACGTTGCTGTGAACGTGGGTATACAGTTATCTGCTTGAGACCCTGCTTTCAGTACTTTTGAGTGTATACCTAAAAGCAGAATTACTGGATCATATGATCATTCTATACAGACTTTTAGGAACCACCACACTATTTCCCACAGTGGCCACAAGATTTCACATTTCCACCAACAGTGCACAGGGGATCTAATTTCTCCATGTCCTTGTCAACATGCTTTATTTTCTTTTTGTGGTTGGATTTTTCTTGCTTTTGTTGTTTTGAGACAGGTCGGTGGGACAGGGTCTCTCTCTATAGTTCAGGCTGGTTTTGAACTCACTACATAGCCCAGGCTGGTCTCACACTTTTAGTGATTCTCCTGCCTCAGCCTCCTGAATGCTGGCATTATAGGAGTACACAACCATACCCTGCTATTTTGTTGTTTTTATGACAGCTACCCAAGTGGGTGTGAAGTGGTATTTCATTATGAGTTTTTTCTCATTTATTGTCATTTTATCTCAATAGAAAGAATAGAGAAGTGTGATTAATTTGACATAGAGAATTCTGGTAAATGATAACAATACCAATTTAAGATCATTATTTTAAAACACTCTTGATAGCAGTAGTTCTTTAAACTCCCCAGTAGATGTCAGTCTATGACTAAAGTTAAGGACCAGCATTCAGAACTCTTGAGTACAGTGAGGACTTTTCTTTGCGTAGTTCAGACTGGGCTGGGTGTGTCCTGTGGAGACTGCAATTCATTTCTCGCTCACAGGTACTCAGGCCACACTCTCTCTAGTCCTCCCTGACTAAGAGTCTCTTTTCTCTAGGGCCAAGACAGTGACTGTCCCTGAGCCATGGGCCACTCCTCCAGAGGTGAAAGAAAAGATCCACCTGCTATACCAGAAATCAGAGTTTGTGGAGAAGAGTATTAAGTACTTCTCAGGTAGGTGAGCCTGTGGGAGGATGGGAAGCAGCTGCTCAACTTCTCTGTGGGGGTCTGTGGAGCCCAGATCACCCCTGCTTCCCTCTTACCACCCAAGGCCTTTATGACCATGACCTTTAAATCATCTTCTCTTTGATTTGTTCCTAGCCGATGGAACCTAACTTAAGCCTCTTTCTGTTCCCTTTCCCGCTTTTTAGACACACTGCGAACTGAAATGGAAATGTTCAGTGGTGAGTATGGTGGCAGAAGTGTACACTAGGTGCTGTTGATTACGGGGAGTTGTTTAGAAGAGAGAAAAATGCCTGGAATAAAGGCAGGAGAAAGGTCAAGGCAGGCTCCACAGCTCTGCATAGTCTTTTTGTACCTGACTCTCTGGCTAAGTTAACTCACTAGACCATAGTTGCCAGAGTGGGTATGGTTGGCCCGGGAGGCCAAGCCTAGGATGTCAGGCCCTAAGCAGGGGGATCCTTGTCTTTCCTTGTTGCAGGGATAATGTAATTCAGGTCCTCTGGATTGGAATGCCCAGAACCTTTTCTTCCCATCTCTCTCTTTTTTCTCTCTGTAGTTCAAGAACTGACTGGTGCTCAGGCACATGCCGGTAAGTGCCCAGATCAAGACAAGTAGCCTTGGCCTCCTGGGACCCTGTGTGCCCCCACAACAATCTAGAAGAGTAGCCCTGTCCTGTTTCATGGAGGTAGGGAAAGCCCTAGCAGGATGTTGCCCATGAACTCCCAGATAGGTATTCTAATTCTCTTTGCAGTTAATGTGTTCCTGGATCCAGCAACTGCCCATCTAAACCTTGTCTTCTCTGATGATATGAAGAGTGTGAGACTCGGAAGCAAATGGGACAGGCTGCCTGACAGCCCAGAAAGATTTGACAGCTGCATCTTCACCCTGGGCTCTCCCAAATTCTTCTCTGGCTGCCAATACTGGGAAGTGGAGGTTGGAAACAAGACTGCCTGGGTCCTGGGAGTATGCCGTGCTTCCACAAGCAGGAAGGGGAGTGTAACTCTGACACCAGAGAATGGTTACTGGGTGGTCATGATGATGAAGCCAAATGAATACCAGGCATCCACCATTCCTCCAACCCACCTGCGAATGAGTGAGCCCCCCAAACGTGTGGGCATTTTTCTGGACTGGAAGACTGGACACATTTCCTTTTATAATGTGACAATCAGATCCCATATCTATACATTCACCACCTTCTCTCCCGCTGGGCCCCTTCAGCCTATCTTCAGTCCTGGAACACACGACGGGGGGAAGAACACAGGTCCCCTGACCATCTGTGCAGTGGATGGCCGGGGGCCTCACTGAATGCCCAACACTGTACCTCTACACCATCTCCTGGCCTTGCATCTGACATTCAGGCACTCGGCAGTTACCAATTAAATATCTACTGTGAGCCAGCTACTGCTGTAGGGAAGACAAGGAATAAGAAAATCCTCCCAGTGCCAAGAAGTTTACCAAATCATAGCAGAGATAAGGTAGGTATGAGCCGGAAAATGATTTTTGAACAAACAAACAAAAAAAAAGGTTTTCCTGCAGCAAACTGACCTAACTGACAAAGAGCCACTCCCAGTTCATACCCCTCCCACATCTAACACATGTCCTCCTTCATTGTCTTTTGGTCTCAGTAAGTGTCTGTATCCAGTGTATTTTTCCATCCAATCATGTAAACTAAATGTAACTTCCTCAACCAATGAACTGATGTTAAATGCCTTACATCTGTATCCCCACTCCTCTTCCCTTAACCCATATGAATCCTGTTCACTGCTGGCTCTGGGCTGATCACTTTGTGGAGAAATCCCTGATCAGTCCCCTGGTGTAATAAAGCTGTACACTTGCCTCCAACCTCTGGGTGCATTTTGATTCTTCTTGGCCTGATCCTGCTATACAACTAAAAGCTACCACACTGTGGACTGTAAGTCTACCATTACGTTTGGTGTGTTGGCTGGGAAGATTGACTGCACTGATTAAAATCACCAGTTGAAGCCTTCATAGAGGGAGCAGGGACCTCCCCAGCTCCCCCTGCCCCCCGCGCATCTCAAAGATTTCTCTGAGTCTCCTCAGAGGACTGAGGACAAACTACTCATCATCTGCAGTTTTCTGGACCCAGAAAGAGTAAGGATGCTCATCTGGTTCCATCCAGTCTGGTCATCAGATATGGTAAGACCCTGGGGCACCCTAGTTAATTTGTTTAATCCTGCCCCTCTCACCACTCCTCTATGAGAACAAACATTACTTACTTGTTTTGGGTTTAGTTTCAGTTTCTGCCTGCTAGCCTGAGAAGACAGAATCTCTGGGAAGGGGGTTGAAATGTTTAACCTCTGAATGCCTGGAGAGTGCAAGTGTGAATGAATGCAACTGAATAACATCCTTAGTTTCTGGTCCATGTGGTTCCACAGGGAAGAGAGGGGTGATCTCTCTTGGACCTTCAGAGTCTGACTGAGTTCATCTGCGATTTCATGGATGTGTCTAAGAAAGGCCAAGTGGGGGCTTTTGTGATGAGATAAATACCCCCTCAAGCCCAGAGAGTCCTTAAAGTGGCAGAGAGTCCTTAAAGTGGCTGAGAGGCCTACAGCCAGATGAACATTTGCCTGGTCTTTCCCTCAGGGGAAGGGCACCCACCTTTTGTCTGTTTGTGTTTCTGAACAAAGGAATACCTCACACACCTAGGGAGCTAGCCAGAATGGGTGCAAGTCAGTCTAAGCCCACGGTGTTAGAATATATGCTAAAAATTTTTAGGGAGAGCTATTCTTGTAATTATGGAGTAAAAATGAAACCCCAGAAGCTATACACCTTCTATGAGGTTGACTGGCCAGAACTCTACCCAGAATGGCCACCAAAGGGAACTCTAAATACAGACATTGTATGCCAAGTTTGGAACAAAGTGACTGAGACCAATGGAGGAGGCCAACCTGACCAGTTCCCTTATATGGACTCCTAGCTTAATCTTTGTTTAAAACTGCCCCTATGGCTCCATGTTTGCACTGTGAAAGACCCAGGAGCCATTTTAGACATGCAAGAGAACCACCCCAGTCCTGGGAACAATGGTGAGAGGAGATGCCTGGCAGCTGCCCAGGAACAACCCCAACCAAAGAGACTATCCAGTCTTCCCAGAGGATCCTTCTCAGGAAAA